ACTTCTTTGTACCATTGTTGTCAACTTTCTCTAGTGAAACTCTTGCCAATTTGCCCCGTGAACTAGCAAGCAGTGTGTGCACTAGGAAAACGACTAAGGACCAACGAACGCAGAGATCACACGAGCACCCGTGCCTAGCCCGTAGTCTAGCTCCCGTTGTAGTAGTTATCCCTGCAAATCCGGGGGGGTCGGGGGGGTCGAAGTTAATCCAGGGGAGTCTTAGTTAACTCGGGGGGGGGTCTAAGTTAATCCGGGGGGGTCTAAGTTAATTTGGGGGGTCTAAATTAATCCAGGGGGGTCTAAGTTAATCCAGGGGGGTCTAAGTTAATCTCGAGGGGGTCTAAGTTAATCCGGGGGGATCTAAGTTAATGGGGGGGTCTAAGTTAATCCGGGGGGGTCTAAGTTAATCCCGGGGGGACTAAGTTAATCCGGGGGGGGTCTAAGTTGATCCGGGGGGGTCTAAGTTAATCTAGGGGGGTCTAAGTTAATCCGGGGGGGTCGGGGGGTTCTAAGTTAATCCAGGGGGGTCTTAGTAAAACTGGGGGGGGGGGTCCAAGTTCATCCGGGGGGGTCTAAGTTGATCCAGGGGGGTTTAAGTTAAAGCGGAGGGGTCTAAGTTAACCTAGGGGGGTTTAAGTTAATCCGGGGGGTTCAAGTTAATCCGGGGGGGTCTAAGTTGATCCGGGGGGGTCTAAGTTAATCCAGGGGAGTCTAAGTTAATCCGGGGGGGTCTAAGTTAATCCGGGGGGGTCTAAGTTAATCCGGGGGGGTCTAAGTTAATCTAGGGGGGTCTAAGTTAATTCATGGGGGTCTAAGTTCATCCAGGGGGGTCTAAGTTAATCCGGCGGGGTCTAAGTTGATCCGGGGGGGTCTAAGTTAATCCAGGGGAGTCTAAGTTAATCTGGGGGGGTCTAAGTTAATCCGGGGGGGTCTAAGTTAATCCGGGGGGGTCTAAGTTGATCCGGGGGGTCTAAGTTAATCCAGGGGGGTCTAAGTTCATCCGGGGGGGTCTAAGTTAATCCCGGGGGGGGTCTAAGTTAATCCGGGGGGGTCTAAGTTAATCTAGGGGGGTCTAAGTTAATTCATGGGGGTCTAAGTTCATCAAGGGGGGTCTAAGTTAATCCGACGGGGTCTAAGTTGATCCGGGGGGGTCTAAGTTAATCCAGGGGAGTCTAAGTTAATCTTGGGGGGTCTAAGTTAATCCGGGGGGGTCTAAGTTAATCCGGGGGGGTCTAAGTTGATCCGGTGGGTCTAAGTTAATCCAGGGGGGTCTAAGTTCATCCGGGGGGGTCTAAGTTAATCCCGGGGGGTCTAAGTTAATCCGGGGGGGGTCTAAGTTAATCCGAGGGGGTCTAAGTTAATCCAGGGGGGTCTAAGTTCATCCGGGGGGTTCTAAGTTAATTCGGGGGGGGTCTAAGTTAATCCGGGGGGGTCTAAGTTAATCCGGGGGGGTCTAAGTTAATCCAGGGGGGTCTAAGTCAATCCGGGGGGGTCTAACTTAATCCCGGGGGGTTCTAAGTTAATCCGGAAGGGTCTAAGTTAATCCGTGGGGGTCTAAGTTAATCCGGGGGGGTCTAAGTTAATCCGGGGGGTCTAAGTTAATCCATGGGGGTCTAAGTTAATCCGGGGGGGTCTAAGTTAATCCTGGGGGGTCTAAGTTAATCCAGGGGGGTCTAAGTTAATCCAGGGGGGTCTAAGTTAATCCGGGGGGTTCTAAGTTAATCCTGGGGGGTCTAAGTTAATCCAGGGGGGGTCTAAGTTAATCCGAAAAGGTCTAAGTTAATCCGGGGGGGTCTAAGTTAATCCGGGGGGGTCTAAGTTAATCCGGGGGGGTCCAAGTTAATCCGGGGGGTCTAAGTCAATCTGGGGGGGTCTAAGTTAATTCGGGGGGGTCTAAGTTAAACCGGGGGGGTCTAAGTTAATCTAGGAGGGTCTAAGTTAATCCACGGGGGTCTAAGTTATTCCGGGGGGGGTCTGGGGGGGTCTAAGTTTATTTGGGGGGGGTCTTAGTTAATCCATGGGGGTCTAAGTTAATCCCGGAGGGGTCTTAGTTAATCCGGGGGGGTCTAAGTTAATCCGGGGGGGTCTAAGTTAATCTGGGGGGGTCTAAGTTAATCCGGGGGGGGTCTAAGTTAATCCGGGGGGGTGTAAGTTAATCCGGGGGGGTCTTAGTTAATCCATGGGGATCTAAGTTCATCGGGGGGGGTCTAAGTTAATCCAAGGGGGTCTAAGTTAATCCGCGGGGGTCTAAGTTGATCTGGGGGGGTCTAAGTTAATCTGGGGGGGTCTAAGTTAATCCGGGGGGGTCTAAGTTAATCCAGGAGGGGTCTAAGTTAATTATGGGGGGTCTAAGTTAATCCAGGGGGGTCTAAGTTAATCCGGGGGGGTTTAAGTTAATCCGGGGGGGTCTAAGTTAATCCGGGGGGGTTTAAGTTAATCCGGGGGGGTCTAAGTTAATCCGGGGGGGTCTAAGTTAATCCCCTATCGGATCTATGTAATGTGGCATATATAGACATTTCTGTCGTACATGGTACCTGCACTACAGGCGCGCATACCGACCAAACTGACCAGCGCATTACGTATGTTTGTAGAGATGCAGATAGTGCCATATTCTTGCCAGTCCACTAGATTAGGCCTTCTACTTTCACAACACTAGGTTATAACCTTTCCGATCCACAAAGTTTGGCAAATTTCAGAGTTCCAGCTCCGCCTTGTTCCTACACACAAGCGTGCATACTGACCTTATTGGTCGACGCATTATTCTCTCTGTACAAATACATCGAATACCATATGTATTCCGATTTCCTTTCAATTATACCATTTTCCACCCCCCTACCATGTTATAACCTATCGGATCTAGGTATTGTGGCATATATAGACATTCCAGTCGTACGTGGTACCTGCACTACAGGTGCGCATACCGACCAAACTGACTAGCGCATTACGTATGTTTGTAGAGATGCAGTTAGTGCAATATTCTTGCCAGTCCACTAGATTAGGCCTTCTACTTCAACAACACTAGGTTATAACCTTTCCGATCCACATAGTTTGGGAGATTTCAGAGTTCCAGCTCCGCGTTGTACCTACACACACGCGTGCTATGTCAAACTCATATGCTATAGTCTGTGTAGGCTGTAGTGGGGTAGCTTATATGGGGTACAACACTTTAGGGTTTGGTACTTGTACTCCTCATGCTGCTCAATGCAATCATTCTCGTTCCAATCTTCACATGGTATCGAGCAGGTTCCCTCGTGGGAACTGTTCCTAGGGCCCACCGAATAGCGAGTTTTTCTTTTTCCTGCCCGGAGGGCGCTTAGCCCCTGCCCGAGTCGCGCCCTGTGGCCCCTCTCACGGCCCCTAACGGCCCCGTCGCGCCGCCCTCGCGGCCCCGTTGCGCCGCCCTCGCGGCCCCTTAGCGGCCCCTCGCGGCCCTGTCGCGCCGCCCTCGCGGCCCCTTAGCGGCCTCTCGCGGCCCCGTCGCGCCGCCCTCGCGGCACCTTTGCGACCCCTCGCGGCCCCGTCGCGCTGCCCTCGCGGCCCCTTTGCGGCCCCTCGCGGCCCCGTCGCGCCGCCCTCTCGGCCCCTTCGCGGCCCCTCGCGGCCCCGTCGCGCCGCCCTCGCGGCCCCTTACAGCCGCTCGCGGCCCCTTCACGGCCTCGTCACGCCGCCCTTGCGGCCCCCGTCGCCACCATTTTCAGCGGCCCCGTCGCCGCCCCTTCAGCGGCCCCGTCGCCGCCCATTCAGCGGCCCCGTCGCCGCCCTTTCAGCGGCCCCGTCGCCGCCCCTTTCAGCGGCCCCGTCGCCGCCCCTTTCAGCGGCCCCGTCGCCGCCCCTTCAGCGGCCCCGTCACCGCCCCTTCAGCGGCCCCGTCGCCGCCCTTTCAGCGGCCCCGTAGCCGCCCTTCCGCGGCCCCGTCGCCGCCCCTTGCCGCCGTGCCGCCGTGCTGCCGAGCCGCACTTTCTGCCGAGCTGCCGGGCCGCCTTTGCCGCCGAGCCGCCGAGCCGCCTTTGCCGCCGAGCCGCCGAGCCGCCGTTGCCGCCGAGCCGCCGAGCCGCCGTTGCCGCCGAGTAGCCGAGCCGCCGAGCCGCCGAGCCACCGAGCCGCACTGCAGCTGAGACGCCGCCGCCTACCAGCCTGCCCCGGAACGCCTCACTTGCCTGGTAAGAGCAGCGCCTCTACCACTGCACTGCCCTAACCCACTGTGCTCACTGCCTCTCTACTGCTGTCATGGCCACCCCTAGTGTTCTCACCTTTGACGCTGAGGGTCGGGCTGTTGACTTTGAGGTCTGGGTAGATGATCTGCAGCTTTTCCTACAGTGCGATAGGGCAGACGGTCTCTCCCTCTTTGACCTCACTTCTCGTGCCTCCCCTGCCCCTGCTGCTGATGCTGACGCCACTGTTCGCTCACAGTGGGCCACGCGCGATGCTGCTGCCCGCCTTGCTGTGCGCCGCCACTTACCGACCGCTGAGCGTGCGCATTTTAGTCAGTACAAGAGTGCTAAGACCTTGTACGACGCTGTAGTTGCACGCTACTGTTCCCCTGCCACTGCTGCTCTTAGCCGCCTCATACTGCCGTACCTCTTCCCTGACCTCGCCGCTTTTCCCACATTCGCTGACCTCATTACGCACCTTCACACTAGTGACATTCGCTACCGCGCTGCGCTTCCAGCTGAGTTCTGCGCCAAGAACCCCCCCCCCTATGTACATCACCCTCTACTACATAGTCACCCGGCTCCCTGACACCCTTCGTTCAGTTAGGGACCACTTCCTCTCTGTCTGCCCCACCACTCTCACCGTTGACCTCCTCGAGGAGCGCCTCCTAGCAGCAGAGAAGAGTATAGTCGCTGTAGGAGCCTCCCGTGGTGACCCTCGTACCCCTGTCTTTGAGGGGTGCTCCCCCTCTCCCCTCTTGCCCTCTGTTGCCTCTGCTGCTGCGGCCGACCTCGTTGGTCTTGAGTCGGTCGGCGCGGCGTCTGCCCCTAGCGGGAGACGCCGCTCAGGCAAGGGCAAGGGCGGCAAGGGAGCTGGAGGAGCTGGCGGGGGCGGTGGAGGAGGCGGTGGAGGCGGAGGAGGGGGGTGGGGGTGGAGGTGGGAGTGGTGGCGGGGGTGGGGGCACTAGTGGCAGCAGTGGAGGCGGAGGAGGCAGCGGTGGTGGCGGTGCGAGCGGAGGTAGCGGAGGTGGAGGCGGTGGTGGAGGTAGCGGCGGCGGAGGTGGAGCTGGTCGGGGCGGCTCTACGCAGAGGGTCGGCTCCGGTGGTGGTCAGCGCCAGCAGCAGCAGCAGCAGCGCACTCGTGAGACCCCCTCCCCCTAGCAGCTTCGTGAGTGGTACACTGCTCGTCAGCGGGGTGGGGGTGCTGGCCCCTGTACCTACGTTCTCCGTATCGGCGACCGCGCGGGTGAGCAGTGTGGGGGTCCGCACTCCACCCAGCGCTGCTTCGGCCGTCTGACGGACGCTTGGCGTCACCAGTTTCCCCGACGCTACTGAGATCCCTCGCTGGGGCGAGCTGTTTAGGGCGGGTGTTGCGATCTTTGATCTTGATTATGATGCTATTCTTGCTGCCATGTATGCTGTGACTATTAGTGATGAGGGTGACTGTTACCGGTGTTTTCCGCCTGACCCGGGCATTGAGGCTGCTGCTCTAGGTGCTGGTGAGGCTGCTGCTCTAGGTACTGGTGAGGCTGCTGCTCTAGGTGCCAGTGAGTCTGCTGCCCCAGGTGCTAGTGAGTCTGCGCTCTCAGGTACCGCGTCGGCTCTGGCCACCCACACCTTCACCCTTGACTCGGGTGCTTCCCGCTCCCTTCTTTCGAGACCGCACCACACTCACGCCGCTTAGTCGGCCAGTGGCAGTCTCCCTGGCAGACCCCTCTGGGGGTCCTGTCCTTGCCCGCTTCTCCACTGTCCTACAGTGTCCGGCGGCCCCTTCTGGCACCCTGTCAGGTCTTTACCTCCCCTCGTTCTCTACGAACTTGGTGAGTGGTGCTGACCTCCAGGATGCAGGGGTTCACCAGTTTCACTCCTGCGAGTCAGCGAGCGACCCACTGTACCTGTGCTCGGACGGGCCGTCACTTGGCCACGTTTACCCGTCGGCCGGGGTCGAGCCTGTACACACTGACTACTGAGTCTCCTCCAGTCGCTGAGTCTGCTCAGGTAGCCGCGTCGGGTCGGGTGTTTGCTGCGGCGTCCAGGTCTGGCCCTGAGTCTGCCCCCTGCTCGTGTCGTCTCCTGTCTCACCAGACTCTCCTCTGGCACCACCGCCTTGGTCACCCCTCCCTGCCTCGTCTTCGAGGCATGGCTTCCCGTGTCCTTGTCTCTGGTCTCCCCCGGTCCCTCCCTCCCCTTCCTCCGGGGCCTGCCCCCACCTGCGTTCCCTTGCGTCGAGGGGCGGCAGCGCGCTGCTCCTCACTCCTCCGAGTTCCCTCCGACAGAGGCTCCGCTGCAGACGCTTCACATGGACGTGTGGGGCCCAGCCCGCCGTCCGTGGACAGGGTCACGAGCGTTACTTCCTGCTGGTGGTTGACGACTACTCGCGCTACACCACGGTCTTCCCCTTGCGCCGCAAGGGTGAGGTGACTGAGGTGTTGATCGCCTGGATCCGCGCAGCTCGTCTCCAGCTCAGAGAGAGTTTTGGCTCGGACTTTCCTGTTCTGCGCCTGCACTCCGACAGAGGCGGAGAGTTTTCCTCTGACCTTCTGCGAGCCTTCTGTCGCGCACGAGGCATCCGCCAGACTTTCACGCTTCCGGCATCTCCACAGCAAAATGGGATTGCTGAGCGCCGCATTGGCATGGTCATGGACGTCGCTCGTACGTCCATGGTCCATGCGGCTGCCCCCCATTTTCTGTGGCCGTTTGCGGTTCGGTACGCGGCGCATCAGATCAACCTTCAGCCCCGGGTTTCCATGCCGGAGACCTCCCCTGCTTTGCTGTGGACGGGGAAGGTTGGCGATGCGTCTGCGTTCCGTGTCTGGGGATCTCGGGCGTTTGTCCGCGACTTGTCTGCGGACAAGCTGTCCCCTCGTGCTGTTCCCTGCGTCTTCCGTGGCTTCCCCCCTGACGCGCCAGGCTGGCAGTTCTACCACCCCACCTCGCGCCGTGTTCTGTCCTCCCAGGACGTCACGTTTGACGAGTTGGTTCCCTACTACCGTCTCTTCCCCTACCGCACTGCGTCCCTCCCCCCCCCGCCCGCTCTTCCTTACGCCAGGTTCCCCCTCCGGTAGACCCCCTCCCCCCTCAGGGTCCTGCCCCCTCAGGTGTTGTCCCAGGTAGACGCAGTCGAGCCTGTCGAGGTAGCTGTTGACTCTGGTGCTGCTAGGGGTGCTGAGCCTGCGGGTGCGGGGTCTGGGGGTGCTGAGCCTGGAGGTGCTGAGTCTGGGGGTGCTACGACTCGGGGTGCTGAGCCTGGGGGTACTTTGCCTGGGGGTGCTGAGCCTTGGGGTGCTGAGCCTGGGGGTACTTTGCCTGGGGGTGCTGAGCCTGGGGGTGCTGCGCCTGGGGGTGCGGAGTCCTGAGGGTACTGGGCCCTGCTCGTGTGGCGCCTGGTGGTGCTGGGCCTGGAGGTTCTTCGGGTGCTTCGTCCCGGCGGGAGCTACTCTCTCCACAGGAGCTGCGAGAGTGGTTTGCCCGGCGCTGGAGGCGTGCTGCTGAGCTGGAGGTGCTGCGGGCACTGGGGGTTCTGCTACTGCTGAGGGTGCTGGTGCCGCGGGTCCCGGAGGTGCTCGTACTGGGAGTACTGGAGCTGCTGGGCCTGCGGGTACTTCTCGTACTGGAGCTGGTGGTTGCTGCGGGCGTCGGTGCTACTGGGGGTGCTGGTGCTGGTGGGACCTGCTGTGTCTTCTGGTGGTCCGGCTGGAGCTGGAGCTGCAGGGGGTGTTGGCGCTGAGGGTGCTTCTGGTGCTGGTGCCTCTGAGGGTGCTGGAGTTGGCGCTGCTGGAGCTGGGTGTGCTACTGGAGCTGGTACTGCAGTTGGGGGTGCTGGTGCTGTTCCTGCTGGTTCTGGGGGGTGCTGCGCGGCCGCGGCCGTACTTCGTTCCGCTCCTTGAGCAGGTTCTTGGCCTTCCGCCCTCTGCTAGTCCGGCTCCTCCCTTAGAGTGTCCACCGCCTGTCCAGTCCGAGTCCGCAGTTACACCTACCTCACCCTCTGCCTGCTCCTTTCTCCCTACACTGGTCCTACTGGAGGTCTTGCTGAGCGTCGTGAGCCTGCATCTCGCCCTGCGTCGCCTGTCCGTTGCTGCTCCGCACTAGTGGTCGTAGTTCGCGTCAGCGTTCCCCCCCACTGTCCCCGGCACGCACCGGATGTCTCTGCGTCCTTCCACAGCTCCACTGCGTGCCCCTTTTGCCTTCTCCTCCTGAGTCCTCTCTTCCTGCTCTTGCTGACCCTGAGTCAGACTCCCTTCGTGCTCGCCAGTCCTACTGTCACGCGGTCTCCTTGCTACTGTAGTCACTGACCCTTCCATTGAGTCCACTGCTGCGTCTGCCCTAGTTGCTGAGCTTGTCGACTTCACTGCTCGCTGTCGCCTAGATACGCTGCTAGTCTTGTCGCTGAGTCTGAGTCTGTCTGTCCTCCGTCCGTCGGGGGGGTGAGTGTGCTCTTGGCACGGACGTCCTTGAGGACAGGCAGGAGGAGTTCCAGTGTCTTGCGGCTGCTTCACCCCATCTCGTGTCCATGTTACTTGCCCCTGAGGAGACCCGGATGCACCAGACATCACGACTCCGCGATCTTACGCGGAGGCGATAGAGGGTCCCTACTCCTCTCAGTGGCAGGCAGCCATGGACGCAGAGATGGCTTCCTGGAAGTCCACAGGCACCTACGTTGACGAGGTTCCCCCGCCTGGGGCGAACATCGTCAGTGGCATGTGGATTTCAGGGTGAAGCGGCCGCCGGGTTCTCCGCCTGTCTTCAAGGCGCGTTACGTGGCTCGTGGCTTCAGTCAGCGGCAGGGAGTTTGACTACTTTCAGACCTTCTCTCCCACCCCGAAGGTGACCACTCTTCGGGGTACTGCTGCACTTAGCCGCTCACCGTGACTACGAGCTTCACTCTCTTGACTTCAGCACTGCTTTCTTGCAGGGCAGCCTGCACGAGGAGATCTGGCTGCGCCGCCCACCTGGTTTCACTGGGACTTTTCCTCCTGGCACCCAGTGGAGCCTCCGGCGGCCAGTCTACTGGTCTCCGCCAGGCACCTCGTGAGTGGCACGACACACTGAGGACTACACTTGCGGCTCTTGGGTTTGCTCCTTCTACTGCCGACCCCGTCGCTGTTTCTGCGCACCGACACTTCTTTGCCGCCGTTCTACATCCTCGTGTACGTCGACGACTTGGTCTTTGCCACAGCTGACACTGCTGGACCTCGCCTACGTGAAGAAGAGACACACGTGCACAGACCTAGGTGAACTGCGCAGCTACCTTGGCTTGCAGATCACCCGGGATAGAGCACAGCGCACCATTACCCTGACTCAGTCACACATGGTGCAGCAGGTCCTTCAGCGCTTCGGCTTCACGTACTCCTCGCCTCAGGCCACTCCTCTGTCTACTCGCCACTCGCTCTCAGCTCTGCCTTCGGATGAGTCCGTAGAGTCGAGTGGCCCGTACCCAAAGCTTGTTGGCTGCCTCATGTACCTGATGACCTGTACTCGACCTGACCTTGCATACCCTCTTAGCATTCTGGCACGCTATGTTGCTCCTGGGAGACACAGACCAGAGCACATGGCTGCAGCGAAGAGGGTGTTGCGCTACTTGTGCAGTACGTCGGGCATGGGGCTTGTGCTTGGAGGGCGAGTCCAGTGGTCCTCACTGGTCACGCAGACGCTTCTTGGGCTGACGACCAGGCTACGCAGCGGTCGTCACAGGGTTACACCTTCAGCCTTGGTTCCGGCTCTGTTTCGTGGCGGTCTACCCGCTTGTCTTCTGTTCTCGGCTCCAGCTGTGAGGCTGAGATCTACGCAGGGGCCATGGCTGCACAGGAGCTACGCTGGCTCACCTACCTGCTGACTGACCTAGGAGAGCCGCCTTGTTCTCCTCCAGTTCTGTACGTAGACAACAAGGCCATGCTGGCCTTGTGTCGGGAGCACAGACTGGAGCACAGAACGAAGCACATCGCTCTTCGCTACTTCCTTGCTCGTGAGCTGCAGCAGCGCGGTCAGCTGCGCCTTGCTTACGTGGCCTCTGAGGCCAACACTGCTGATATCTTCACCAAGGCACTCGCGCCTTGTGACCATCAGCGCTTCTGTACTTTGTTAGGTCTTGTGCCTACCTTGCCTCACTTGCTCACTTCTTGACCTTGCTTGTACCTTGACCTTTATATACTTGCACTTGCATG